TATACATGATAATATAAAGTATAAACATGATGTTTAAAATATATATTTGCTATTATATTACATACAAATGTATTGTCAATGTCAGAGCCTTCGGTTTCAATGAGTGCATTCGCATGACTGGGCCGAAAAATGTGTAGGTTTTTAAAAAAGGTTTTTTTCAGTTTAAAGATTTAATATGATTTTAGGAGATAAAGCTATTGAAAATAATATAATGCACAGGTTGTGAAATATTCAACAGACCAGAAAAATAAAAGATACAAGCTAAATTTGCTGCATTTTTTTTATGTATGTATTCGTCATTCGTCTATACTACAAATAATCAAATTTTAAATTTTCATAAGCTTTTGATAAGTTTTAACATCAACAGTATTAAAAAGCCGTCTAGTAGGTAACCACTCTACTGTACAAAAAGTGTTGAGTGAACATCGTAATTTGAGTAGGTCACTAGCTGTAATAGATATGATAAATTTTAAAATTTTAAATAATAACTGTTCGATGAAAATCGATTCCAAACTTTTTTGGAACCATGGTTATCAAACAATTATTTTAATAATAATATTACAATTATAATATATTTTCATACCCCCCCCCCCTCTATTATTTAAAAATTAAGAAATTCCTACTTTTGACACACAAAAAAAATATTTTCACTTGATATTACTTATACGAATTAAAGTTGGATCTAAATACATTTTTTGTTTATTTTCAAATTTTAAATTTTTTATTAAATTTTTAAAACTTTTTTAAGTGCCTCCCGATGGTTTTTATTAATTGGAAATTTCTTGTTGGTCTTGATGAAAAATCAATTTTGACCTACCAATATCATATAATATATTCTAATTGATTGGTGTTTATAGTTTATATTATATTATTTAGTATTTATTAATTAGTGATTACTGATTACCATATTATTCGTAATAATAATCCCAATTAAAAATAATCCTCATTCTCCAGACATCAATAAATAATAATAATGCAATTTGATTTTACTCTAATGAATAAACACAGACTTGACTAGTATAAAAAATTGGTATCCGTAATATCGTATTTTCTATTTTGCTTCAAATTATAATGTATAAAAAGAAGTGGATAAATTAATATTATTCACCCGGGGCCGGGATGAGCAATATCAATTGGGTAATTTTTTATTTAACACTGAAACCCGTCTAAAAAGTAAAAACTAAAATCAATGTGTTAGATGACTGGAACGCGTTCAATGAATCAAATTTAATCATTTTATTAATAATTGTGTCCAATTGTAAGTGTATGTACCTATTGTCTCCAGTATTAGAGTGAACTATTAAATGGTTCGAGGCACAGTATTTTATTTTTGACATTCGCCCCACGAACAGACTAAAAAAGAGTATAATACCTGACCTTTTGTATTTTTATAAGAAATATTATATAAAATAATATTATAAATATATACAAACTGAACGCGTGCACTTCGTTGCCCCTTAAATGTACCAACTCCATATGACTCAGACGTTGTTCAATTCGTTATTTAATGTTCGGTGTATAGTGTTTAAAATTAATCTTAACTTTTCCGTTGCCCTGGTTCGCAGCAGTATATTATCAGGTAGGCAATCCATCTGTGGTAGATCGCGGACCCTTAGTTTGTAAGTAAGTGTATGATTTAACTCTAAAGTATCAAAGTTTTATCAAGTTTGTCTTATTCTACCTATGGTGTTTTAATATAATCAATCAATACAAAATCCTAACCTAACCTGTTGCGTGACTGTTGTATTTTTTACATCCAGATTTCATACTTTTACGGGGGATTTTCCTAAAATGTTGTTTCATAATAACCTTCTCCGTGATATACTCTTTCCTTTAAAAAAAATCAAGAAGATCTGTTAAGCAGTTTACGAGTTGACCGTGTACATAGATTTTCATTTCATATTTATATGTATAGTTAGAATATATATATAATATATTGACAAAAAATAATAATACAAATCAACAAAGGTGCCAAATATAGCAAGCAATATGCGTACAATACACTATTATTATTTTAATCAGAAACTTAATTTATTATTATTATTATTATTTATAATTTAGTGTGCACTTAAGAGGCCATAACTCCGGAATCACTTATTGCACAGCGTACAAACTTCACATAGACCATCTACATATCAATTTTAATATGCCCTAACATTTTAATCGAAATCGGTTCGGTGGATCTTGAGTTATAAAATGTATTCAAAATGTACACTTATTTTTATATTTATAGATAAAATGTACAACCAACTGTCTATATTACTACGATCCACCAGGCATGAAAGTGTCATGACTCCCAGGTTGCCGCGGACCACAGCTGTGTTTATGATCCACTGTTCTACTATACAACTAAGCGGAGAAAATATTTATAAAAAGTTGTCTTTAATATGCCCAGATAAAAATAATGTTCGTAAAAAAGTTTTAAAAAACGTTCAAATTATTTAAATTATTTAAATCTTAGAACTGTACTTAAAGTAATCAAATTGTGCAATTTGCATACGAGACTAGAATGTAGATTCGATGACTGGTTGATTTGACAATATCGACTGACAATTGAGAAGATTAATAATTTATGAATAAAACTATTAAATAATATTAATACACTTTAATGATTACTAAAATGTATAAAGACGTAATTACTGAAAGAAAATTTAAAAAAACAATTACGTATTATAGTATGTATTTGTAGCGCTCTCTAGTTGTATTGGTTTATCAATAAAGGTAGGTATGTACAACATTTACTATGTATCATTGATAACATAATATATCGTAACAAAAATGCTAAAAGATCATACTATACAGGCTTATACACCATGGTATACTCTGCTCACGTCCTTTTTTCCCTAAATAATATGCAGTTTCTCCAAATTTTGGTTTTTTTAAATTTATTTTAAGTCCATACTATCAAATTCTTAAGATTTTTTTTAACTAAGTACTTAAGGAGTGTCCTGTAAAGAATAAAGATACAAACTTTTGTTTTTATTCGAGAGCATACCTTCTGTACTGTAAATCATTTAACGGATAATTTTTCTGAACATTTTTTAAAATCAAAATTTGAATGGGTAGTTTTTGCATACTAAGGGTAATAGGACCCTTAGTATAATTGGTTTTGATAATATGCTTTAAATATATTTAAAAACTCCAAAAATCAAAATTTGAATAAATTCATTATTAAAAGTAAAAATAGGGGTGAGCATGGGTGATGCTATGCATGATGATATACATTATCTATTATCGTGTGTATATTAATTGTTTAAGCCAATATGTGTATATATAAGCCACATAGCCCATATCCCACAAGTCTAAGTGTTGACAAAAATCAATGTACCCTTAAGAGGACGCTACACCCGCATGTGTTGTCTCCGTCTTACAAACGCGTAACATAGCAAATTACGTCCACGGAAAACAAACGAATCGGCATCAAAAAGTGGTTTTAGAGTAAAAATACCTATAATAAAACTTAAAGAGAACAATATTTTGGAGGGAACCTCATCGGCGTTTTTAAAAATATTAACTATTAAAAAAGTTGTGGTTATTTAAAAAAAAGAGTTTTTGTGCCTTCAATATCTAGCTGTGTATTTAGATTAATACAAAACCCCGATGAGGTTCCCTCCGAAATATTGTTCTCTTTAAGTTTTATTATAGGTATTTTTACTCTAAAACCACTTTTTGATGCCGATTCGTTTGTTTTCCGTGGACGTAATTTGCTATGTTACGCGTTTGTAAGACGGAGACAACACATGCGGGGGTGGCGTCCTCTTAAAGATGTTTTATTAGCTATATAAAATATAGTATATTATACCAGATACCTACAAAATAATAGTTTTACTTTGATTTACCCTATTATAATTACCTAATTATTCTACTTCAAAAATATTAATCGACTAAGAATTAATATAGGTAGGTACTAATAGATTATTAATTAAATATTATCATTATAGGATCATAAAATTATGATGTTATACTATATGCATATATTATCATCTGAAATTATAAATTACCTAACTCTTAAGGCTTTTTAAATATGATTAAAAATTTAAAAATAATTTCCTTTTTTTCAATATAGGTATATTTTAAACTACACCCCAAGTCTACAATTCATAAATATGGTACCACCTCGGGTACCACAAAATATATTTTTTTTTTTTTCACAAAAATTGAATAATGCAGTAAGGATATTGTTTGATACACTATTAAACAGACACCTACAAGAAAACATGTAGGTATAATGTTTAAATTAAAATACAACGGGAGTATGACAGATGTCACTTTTACTTCCTGCATCGTGAGCTATTAAAGTAGATTCTTTAGTACTCATTCTTTGTTACTTAGTTTTATAATATGCACAAGACACAAAAATAAAAACATTTGATTGTTCAGTATAACCTATAACAATAACTAAGTTATTGTTTAATCTTAAAAATATAGATTTTTAAATCTACCAACAAACAAAAGGAATAACTTGAATAAAAATACATTCATTACGAGGCTAAGTATGTTCTGTCATACAATAAAATACATTTTTAATATATCTACCTACCTTATAATATACAATTTCAATGAATCTAATAAGATTTTTTTTGTGGTATTGTAGAAGTAATCTAATAAGCTTAAAATCAATTGTATTTGATTTAACTCAAAAAATAAAAACCAGTAGGTAGTTATTACTTATTATGATTATTTTTTAAAAATTATATTAACTTGTCACCAATTGTGTCACTTTGATGACCCAACATTCTAAGGAAATAGATTTTACTATTTCACACCGTTCACTATTTATTTCACATATTAGTTTTTACATACTTTAATTTATTTTTGCTAATTTTCACTGGCAATCATCAAACACTCATTGATAATATTAACTCTAATATTGAAACAGGTTTTATCTACTTATTAAATTCTTCAATCATATCACTCATTCTTGACATTACATTCTAGTTTCAAGTAAAGTTGATTGTTTTTCTAGTACCCAAAATTTCATGGATACTAAAGAAGAAGAAATGAGAATTACAGTATATAATGTTACATTGGATCAAATGATTAATGGTATTGATTTGAGATTTAGTCAGGAAACATTAAATATGATAAAAAGCATTGCCAATGTACTAGAATTAAATGTTGACGACAACGATATCACCATTTTAACCAAAACCTTTCATTTGGAAGCTGAAATGTTAAAAAGTGAAATAAGTCTACTTCAACATACAGATAATGTACCCAAAAGTACTATAAAAAATTGTGATACGTGGATAAAATGGTTAACAGAGTTTAATAGTGGAAGGGAAACTATATTCAATAATATATTTAAAATGTTAAAAATATTTATTACTATTCCTGTAACTAGTTGTTCTTGTGAAAGGGCGTTCTCAAAATTAAGCTTAATAAAAACCAAATTACGTAGTACAATGCATCAGGATCGACTAGATGGACTTCTCACCATGTCAATTGAACAGAAATTGGCCTATAATCTTAATATTGATGACATAATTTAAAATATTATCTCCTTCTGAGAGAAGAATGGTACTCTGAAGAAGTAAAGACTAAAGAGCTAAGATTTGTCTTTTGGTAAATTTTAAAGAATGTTTTTATTTTGTTTGTTTATGTACATATTAATATAATATAAATAAACTTTGAAGTTTCAATATTACTTTATTAAATTTGTAGTTAAATTAATGATTTTTAAAACTAAAATACTTCCATGACTAATATTAATTGAACTAACTAATAAAGTAACAACCAAAATAATATTTAACTATATATATAGTTATATATATATATATTTATATTTTATTTACTATATATATATATTTTATTACATTCTGCCCCCCCTGTCAGCATGGTCTGCGCACGCTTATGATTATAACTACAAACAGTTGTAATTATATAACCATATCATATTAAATTATCCAAATTTTATTTATTTAGAAACAATTTATAACATATTACTGTTCTTATTTTTATATTATGGGATGATGGGGACTTTTCCATGCATACATTTATTTTATAATGTGTTTCAAAACGTAGAGTGCTAGACGCTAGTGTGCTACTTGATATTTTCTTCACTCACGAAAAACATTGAATCGTATAATATACTATTATGTTTTTAAAATTATGATTTAAAAAAATAATGCATCAACGAGGTTGCTATGGAACGTAGTTATGTTGATCATTTGTTTGGCAACCTTATATGAAAACAATTTGTATCCAAATACTAAGGGTAAGTTTTTTGCCGATTGCTATGGTAAAGTAATTATAATATTCATCGGTTGCTAGGGAAAATTTATAGCTCTACTAAAGTCGGTAACGCGATATCGGTCGAGTAACGGAATTATATTGTGCATCGGTTATACTATAAATGCAACTTATATGTATATAGGTACTACCTATAACGGAAAATTATAACATTTACTTCATCTGTGTTATTTTTTGGTTGCTATGACAACTATACATGTAGTATCGAGCCCAAAAACATATAATAAGATGTGTTATAAATAGATATGTTATGTTAAAATCTTATGAATTGAGAAATTGATTATAATAATTTTAATCCCACTAGAAAATAAAATGTATTTAATCAGGAAATTGTAACAAGTTTGTTGACGGACAAATTATTAAGTACTTAATTAATTTATGATAGAGAAACCAGCAAGTTTAATTTATTGATTTATTTCAAAATCACCCTCCTCAAATACTTGTTTAAATAATTCGATTATCTTGCTGCACAAACATAATAATAATATATTGTTTTTCATTAATTAAGACATTATAGCATATTATATGGCTTAAAGTCGTTTGTTTAATGTAATGGTTGGAATTCTATTACCTACTTCATATTAAAAATTATCATAAAATATATTGTTATAAATTATTATTACTGACGTTAATACACACGCCAATACGCCATACACTCGCAGAAAATTCTACTTGTTTTGTCTTGCTATTATATCTACCTAGGTACCTATATATTTTTATTATAAAAGCATGAAAAAATAAAAATATCTAAGTTTGTCATTTATCATCTATGTTATAATTGATAACTTTGATTATTATTTTAATATTCTTCTGTGTCTATTAACATAAAAGTTTGATTTGAATAGAATTTGTTTAACATAAATTGCGTTTAAGGACGTGACGTTTATTACAACAGTTCAAGTTTAGTAGAGTAATGTATTGGATACATTTGCATAATTCAATAAAATATAATTGAACGTATTAATAATTAACTGCCAATTCGCAAATATACCTATTAACTATTAAGTATAGTAATAAGTTATGCATATTAAAATAATGGCTAGAGGTGTAATTGGTACAATCAATTTAATGAATTGTTTTTACTCATAGGAAATAATTTAAATAAATAAGATACCTGAATCAGTTCTAAATTAAGTCGGAAAATAAATAAAAAATAATTTATTCAATTTTACAAATAAAAACAACATTTTAGAATACTTTTTCTTCACGTTTATTTTTTATCACAATAATCCGGCATTTTGGCTGCGAGCCATACGAAATTTCAAAAAACATAGAAAAACGGGATATAAATATACTATTATGGAAGTTTTAATTCTCACTTACAAATTTAAACAAATATTTGAACAGTTAAAAAAATAATAAAATTGAAATGTTTAAGATCACCACATGTTACGTAGGTACAGTCGACAGTCAAGCAAATTATCGTCCACGGTCCAAATGTTAAGATAATTCTTCATTTCGGAAAATCTATAGGCAATAGGTATAAATAGCAATTATCATACCCTTTCAAATATTAATAATTTTATTTCTTAATTACATAAAATCGAAATGTACCTATACGTAGATAAATCTTATGTAAATAATTTAATAAAAGCTAGAAACCATGTTGTTGCCAACAACTTGTTGGAGATCAACAACAATAAGTATCCATAAACCCACAAATATTTAATTTGCTACTTTTTTAAAATTATTATTTTAGATAAAAGAGGAATCAATAAGGAAACGACAATTCAGATCTTTAATGCTGGTGTGAGGCGGAAATATACTAAGATAATGTAACTAAATTATTTTATATGTGTGTACTTAACTACCACCCAACCTATATGTACATCCAAAAAATTAATGATAAATTCGTTAAAAATATATATTTAATAGTAGGTACTAATTTTATTTTTAATAATTCTGAAATTTCATGTAAAGCTAAGTTTTGAAAATGTAAAACAAGGTTCCGCTTAAATAAATAAATATATAAATGTATTACTTTATTCACAATAATATCATCAAATATACTTAGTAATATCATAGGCTGACTGACCGTTTTCGCTCAGAATCGTTTTCTTTTTTCTTTTTGTCTGCCGATTTTTTAAATAAAATAAAATAATATTTTATCATTGTTTGTTATTCAAATGCACTTCAAAAAACAATGTCTGTATGTATGTAGCTTATATATAGACGTAAAAACTAATCGACCAACTTTGACAACAATTTCAGAGATAGTTTGAACCACGTTTGAAAATATGCCAAGTACTTTACCCAATCCGCCAAAGGCCCGTTTCGGTCAAATTGGTTCACGATGCCGATTTTCCAGTAACCGAGGTACCTACTTTTAAACCTAGATATGCACTTATATTGCACCATATTTTATGTTTTGTTCATTTTTTTCCTACGAGAAGTCGGTTTATACAGCTAGTTAGTACATAAATAGTGTAGGTATATAATAATTAATAATTGTATAATCTACGTATTCCGTTGCCTAATATAATATAATAGTACCTATGTAATAATAGTGTTGTCCTATTTTAATGATAGTTAAAAAATAAATAGTTTTTTTATATACAATAGTATTGCAATATTTTGACATAATATTTTTGTTTACTATATTATACAGTTTCAGGTATTGTATACGCCTAATGTGATATACTAAAAAAATATTAATATTCTCCTACCGAATATTAAATTTAAGAATACACTTGGAAAATATTTAAAAAATTAGGTATAGACAACTTGCTCAAGAAAAACATCATTATGTATACAATATACATATACCTATGTCCTATACATATACATATACCTATACAATATACAATAACATCATATATTATTATCAATAGTGTAATGACGGAGTTTCCCCCCTACCATTTATTGTGACTTAGATAGACCAAGTACCTATATTATGAACAGAGGTCCAGAGACTCTATCGTATCGGACGTGCACAAGGCTACTATGCATAATATACACATATATTATCATTATATTATTACATATTACGCCTGTTTGCGTTCGCTTGCGCCCAAGGTTCGCGGATCGCGCGAGCGACGACTATCAAACTCCAAAATAGTTATAATATGTAATGATAATGAGAATAATAATAATGTGTGTATATAATATTATACTGTATGAAATTATTATTGTGGACGTACACGGGCGTTGATAAGGCTCTGCGGTGTTGCCCGCAACCTTGGACATATCGCGCGAACAAATTCACACACACACACACACACACACACACACACACACACGCACGCACACATTTCCTGGTCAGTCTACAAATGTATATGTGCAGTGTGCAATGTTTTTTTGCAGTAGTTAATCATTCAAAGAGTCGCCGCCGCTATTTAATATTATAATGATAATAATAATATTATTGTTTGTTGATTATGATTATTTTTTTAGTGTCTTTGACATGCGATTCCGGATCCGACAATTATCATCGTTCAATTATGGATTTCATCGAGATGACCTGTAAACGGTTATTTAGCATTGAAAAACATATTGTTATTTTTGTATAACTATAATATTATATGCTTATGCTTGTACCCATCTATATATTAGGTTTATGTATAGGCGTACGACAAACGATTGTACGAGATTCCTAATTATAATATACATATGCCACTATAAAGCCAAAAGATTAAAGTTTTTTATCGCTTTTGTAAAGAAACTTATAGAGAACTGTATTTAGTGTCTACGACCTTTTAACCGTGTGTTTCGCTCTAATCATCACAAATGGATGTTGTACTTTCTGCTTTCTTTATTTTTTATTTGTTTAAATTAATGTTGCCAAGAATTTACAATGTTTTAAAAACCCCATAATTTATTTATTACCTACAGTTAGTACTTTAATATTCGTTATAAACACGTTATTGAAGTCGTTCGAAAAAAAGGTTTTGAATGGTTAATACCTTCAATCGTTTCAACCTCAAACAGATATGTATCCTATTGAAACTTATAATTTATCATATTTTAAGAAAACTAACGATTCTGCCATTATTTTGAAACCAAACATTTTACGTCCAATAAGTTTGACAATCATTTGATTACAATAGTTTTAAGTGTGGGTGCAATGCCAGTTTTCTATTTAAAATGTAGATATGTTTTAACCATTTATAAGTTATAACAAATTGACACGCATTGGGCCCTGTAAAGAAGTCAATAGAAATATTTTAGATAATAAGTTTGATAAACTTGAAAAAAAACTTGTTGGCCTTTGGTTTAAAATGTATAGACGTGCAGTAATATAAATTGTAATAATATATTAATATTCAAATGAGACAAAC